GATTTTGAACCTAAACTTAATCTTCAAACTTGTTTCCTCAAAAACGGTAGCGATTTGGAAAAAAAAAATTATGTCATTATTTATCATATCAAACCCCAACTTTTAAATTGAGTGCCATACCACGGTTTCAAAACAGACCTGCCCTAGTGTTCTATTGTATTGAAACAACGTCTATGGTTTGTTCTGCACTGGAAACTTCTGTTATGTATTTATAGAACTTTGATAAAATCCAAAGAAGAATCTGCAATGTTATCGCTCCTGACCTGGCATCTCGGCTTCAGACACTTTCCCCCACCGCCATAACGTAGCTTGCCTGTGCCTTTTTCTATAAATATTTCCATGGTAATTGTTCTGACGAGCTTTCCTCTTTGGTACTTCGATTTTATGAATTTAAGCGCAGTACAAGATTAGCAGTTAGGTTTGATTATTTTACACTTAACATTGTTAGATGCAAGTTCTATGTCAACAACACCTTCGCACTTCTCGCTCGTGGAACTCTCTTTCGGCCTTTTGCTTTTCAGTCGACGTCAATCTTCAAAAAATTAAATGCAATGTCAATTCCATTTCTGTTAATGTTCTATCTCCTTGGTAATGTTTTCTTTTTCTTATATTCTCTCACACCCAGTAACCTCTTGCATCTTACTGGGTTTATTGATTTTTGGGGGTGAAATAATTAAAAAAAAAGAACAGCTACTTTGTAGAAGAGATCCATGTGGATTCTTCCTTGAAGATTTCAATCTTGACCTCCTCAAGTCAAGAGACACTCGTTATATGTCCTTATCCTCATAAGCTTCGCTTTCTACTTTCTTTTCTTAAATTCATATCACGCGCCTCATTCAGTAAATCTCCACATTGACATACTCTTGAGCCTTTTATTCCGTGAAATTTAGTAAAAAGAAAACAAATATCCTACGAGTAAAGAAGAAAAGAAAGAAGGAATTCTTTCCTTTTTATACTGCTATATACAACGCCACCTTAGTGGCATTAAGAGAAATCGTCTGACGGACAAGGTAGGGTAATCCCATACAATTAATGGCTTGCGAGGAATTAATGGCTTGCTCTATAGTAGATTGTTTTGAAAGATATGAACCTGTGAAGAGCCCAAATCGCCAACGTCCTGAAGAGTCATGACACACACAGAGAAATTAATTATCCGCAATTACCTTTTTTTGTTCGAAATCGTGTTTACTTTTTCTATTGTGTTTCTTAAGAATGTGCAGGTGGTGTAATAGATAGAGATTTAGAATAAGAAATCGGAAAGCAGTGTTCGAATTCCAGTTGAGATCGTTACATTCACTTAGGTGAAAATAGCATTGAAATAGATATGAATCCCACTCTTCTCCCATCGTAAGATATCGTTGTTAACTAAAAAATGTCTTCTTCTGTCCCCCTTGTCTTCAATATGTCCTTTGAGTGTCAAATTTCCTAAGCCCTCTTTCTTCATTATGTGCCCTAGAATATTCCACTATCACTTCCTGGTGTTAGGTGGGTAATGCAATGTTTTCCTTTGTTTCTCTTGCCTTCAATCTGTCCCGTGAGTATAAAAATGTCTAAACCCTATTTCTTCTTTATGTGCCCTAAAAATTCAAATGTCTCTTTCTCATGTAAGTATAAATGTCCTTTTTATTTTCTTTTTCTCTAAAACTACGTCATTATTCACATGTTCAGTCCATGATATTTATTCTCAGTATCCTTCTGTGTAACATTTATTTTGCTTCAAGTCTCTTCTTCATCTGTGCGGAGGTTGTTCAGCATTCACTACAATACAGAAAGACCGATATTACGTAAAAGTTCAGTACACTTTTCTTTATCTGTCTATATTTCTGAGATGAGGTATTGTAACTATTTACACTCTTTACATTATTCGGACTATCGTCTTCATCTTTGTTGCCCTATTTACGACGTTTCGGCCGTTACACGCCCCGGCCTTCTTCAGGTCGTTGGAATTTCGAACCGGACCCTGTAACACAACTCTCCAAGTTTTTGTTTACTTCTGCTGTGGCCAGGTATTGAACTCATAATTCTTTGGGTCAAGTCACTGGATTAATTCAACCAACACTTTTATCCACTGGGTCATGTGTTCTTGGGGACATAAACTTGTAGAGTTGAGTTACTGTAATTGAAAACTGATATATCCGGAAGAAGCATGGCACGTGGAACTAGAACAATCTACCCTGGTGGACGAAATAAAGAGTATGTAAATAATGTATATACTCTTTGCTTTGTTTTTGTTTTTAACTAAATTTTTAAAACCTATCAAAAATAACTTTTAAGATATTTCACAATCAAAATGCTTACTTGGAAATATACGACATTTAAAAATAAATTTTATTTTAGAACTTAGTTCTTATTACATTATGCGTATCATATTTTTGCAATCGCCTAAGTAAATTCCTATGAAAAAACTAGACAGAACGTTTGAAAGCTCTCATCGACGTCTCTTTGATTTGATTATTGTTAATTCTCATCTAAATTTATGAGTAATAATTATTTGCCCGTTCTTCATTTTTATATCAACTTGTCACTTAATCGATTGCTTTTTCTGTTGTGTCTCTTAAGAATAAAACTTTTTTCGAATTCATTTTGAGCTCTGAGGTTAAATTTAAGGTAATTAGTTATCAGTCTCCAAACAAGGGTAAAGGGTTAAATTTCATTTAACTCAGACTGCTTGTGCTCCCAACCTAAGAAATTGCTATCGTTGGGAGGTAACTGACTTACTAAATTGTCAACACTTTGAGAGACTCCGCTTTGCGCTTCGTTGATCTGAACTAGTATTTACAGTGTGACAAGTGCTATTTGGTGAGTAATACATTGATTATTTCTTTAGCTTTATAGAAACCAGTGAAATTCTTGTCTTTTTGGATAAAGGAAAAAAAAATTAAAAAAAATCGTATGAAATATTAGTATGCAACATTTAATGAAAAACCGTTATTAAGTTAATGTTTAAATTTAATTTTTTTAATTCGTTTCAAGAAATGGAGCATAACCCACTTGTTGTTGCTAAAAATTATCGACAGTTCGTATGACGGAGAATATGTCACAAAAATCTAAAGGCGCATAGGTAGAATGAAAGAGCTTTTTAGAAACTAAGTAAAGTAAAAATCGAAAAATATCTTTAGAATCGAAGAAAAGAGAATGCACACCTACTGTGTGATATCAAATCTGTTATATGACAATGGATTTTGAATGATGGAATTAAATTTTTTTAAAATTATTCTATTTTTTCCTTTGTCCAAAAAGACGAGAATTCCACTGGGAAACGAAATCTACCCTTCATCTGGTACTTGAACATCCAGCATTGAAATTTGTTTCAGGATAAAGAGGGAACAGTTAAAAATTCAAATTTTAAAATAACTAAAAAAATTAGAGATTTTAAAAAAAGTTTAATTTATATTGAGTTTAAAGTAACACAAAAACTTTGTGAAAAAAAATTTTGTTTTAAATCCAGTTTAAGATATCTCCCAAACTTTGTGAATTGAGGAAATCAATTTTATTTCTTCAAAATGCCAAGGAAACAGAGTTAAAGTGAGAGGTTTGGTGACGGGAGATTTTGAAGTTCCGCGGAGTTTGGGATTTGAAGAACACAGTTCAACTGAAGTTCCACGGAAATTGTGATTTGAGGAACACGATTTTCCGCCTGAATTGAAATTTCCGTCTGAATTGGAATTTCGGTCCAAATCGACCCATCGGCTCAAATCGACCCATCGGCCCAAATCGACCCATCGGCTCAAATCGACCCATCGGCCCAAATCGGTCTTTTAGCCGGAATTGGACTTATAGCCCGAATCAGAGTTAGTGATGTTTTGAAGTTCCATGGAGTAAATTGAGGAATTTTTCAAAATTATCATTGCTGCTTTCTAAGCTGGACCAGAGGTTCCTTTAGTTTTGGGCCAGTGGCCAAATTAACCCTACGCAGGAGCAAGATTAAACGTTCGCATGGAGTGCGGCTTTTAAGCTAGTAATATAATATAATAAAGTAACTATTAAAATATAAAGAAATTATTAAAAATTGAAATATAATCAAAATCGGAGTAGAATCGACCGAATTTGATTAAAAAAAATACCTTAACAAATCTGAATGCCTCTTATTGCGAATTTCAGGCCTCCATCGGCTTATTTTATCTTCGACTTGAGATAACTTTCCTTGAGCGGCTATCGGGAATTAAACTCAGCTCAGACCTCAAATATAACTCTCACATACGATACATCGCTAAAGATACTGGTTCCCTGAACAGCTACAGTAAGTACATGATTCCTCATAGCTTTATAAGAGCCAGATCATGCCGAAAATATAGGGCTGGCGCCATATATAAACAGGGACTGCCCAGTGTCGATAGAATCCAAAAGCGTCTCCATGTCCTTGTGGGTGATGAATTATTTCCCACCCTAAGACTCTTTTCTCACACGTGAGACGTGTCAAGCCTATAGTTGTTCTCTCGCCATTTCCTTGGAAAGTGTTCAGACAAACTAGTTCTAACCTTCTCGAGTAAGAGCCACCATGCCACATTTTTATATTATTAAACATAAATATTGCTTTCCTCTTTGGTACTTCGACTTCATGGATTTAGAACTAGATTGGCAGTTAGGTCTCATCATTTTACTGTTGAAATTGCTACGTTTCACCGTAAGTTCTATTCTAGTTGTTTCTTCTCTCGAACTTATCGCCTGTAGAGCTGTCTTCCAGCTTTTTGCTTTCCTGTCAACTACAATCTATAAAAAATTAAGTGTCCGAGCAACACTTTCTCAGTTTCCGTCACAGTTAGTAACTCTATGCGTCTTAGTGGTTTTATTATCTTGCTAGGGGTGAAATGATTAAAAGAAACAATCGAGAACCAATATAATCTTAAACATGATATAAATCCATGGAAATTTGATGCCAAAAAATGGTAAAATCTTGAGCCTTTGGATTTTTGATTGCATATAAACTCTGCAAAGTAATCACTCATCATATCACGATTTGTTGGTTTATGTATTGCTTAGATTTTTGATTTGCATCACGCTTACGGCCATATTACGTTGAAACAGCTGTTCCCGTACGATCATCAATGTTAAGCAACGTCGAGCTTGGTTAGTACTAGATGTGTTATCACTTGGGATTACCTGGGGCTGTAAATTTGGATGTGCGGATGGTGTAATGGATAATGGCTTGGAATTTTCAATCGAGGAGCGGAGTTCCAATTTCAATTGGGTGCGTTATATTCACTTACGCGCAAATATCCTTGGGGGAAGTTATGAATCCATCTCTTCTTTCCTACAGTTATGGGTTAAAAAATTAAAGTTATATCCCTAAATCATTATCTCCAACAAATCTGACAAACTAAACATGTTCTCTGGCTTTAAATAACCTGAAAATGGCTGATAAGCCGTAGAAAACGAATGAATCAATGGTTTGCATATTTGTTGTATAGTTGCCCCGCAATTTGTAGTTATACCATTGTTTGATGACGAACAAGTATAATAGTAATTTACTGCATACGTTGTGCAAACATCAACCTATTTTGAATGTATATCTGTTTTGACCATTATAATTCGTATAGTCTACACGAACATAGTGCCTTGGTTTTACTGACCATTTCCAGAGATGTGGTTTCTTAGCCGGTAAGCTTCTGAGGCATTGGCATAGAAACCCGTTGTTTATTTTTCCTTCAATATTGGCATCTCTTCCGGGCCACCATGCATAGTTTCGACAGGGTAGTATTGGTGACGATCATCTAAAGATTAAGTTGTCTGAGGCGGCGGGGAAACCAACACTCGAGAATCCCAAAACAGACCTCCATTTTTCACACTCAGCTCATTCCGAAAAGCATGAAAGTGAAAGTGAAAGTAAGAATAAATAGGAGTGTTTGAGAAAAGAATAAATGGAAGGACGGGGATCAAGATCACGGCATCAGAAAATGTCGATTGACATTACATTTAAATTTTTGAAGATTATAGTTATCAGGGAAGTGAGTGAGAGGATGGGATTTCCACTGTTGAGAAGTGCGAGAGAAGAAACTGTTGGAGTAGAAGAGGCGGCTACATTGAACTGTTTTGACATTAAAAGCGTGGGACCGAGATGCCAACCTAGTAGCACGCTTAAATTCATGCAGTTGCGGTACCAGTAAAAATTTCCAATTCTAACCAGCACGGCTAAGAGCCGTCATGCTACGAACATTATAAGAAACCACCCTCATTCCCTTCGCATTCCATTGGTGAGGTGAGAGTTCCACTCCAGCAGCTTCTTTCCACGAATCACAGGATTGTAGAACCGACTCTCAAGAGGATGCTTTCCTGATCACTAAAATCTTGACCTGTTCAAATCTAACGTTAGCCGGTATCTTCTCCACATATCCCCATAAAATGTAGTTTTTACTTTGTAATTTCAAGTGGCTCGTTGGCCTTGTACAAGGTAGACATTATTGCGTGACGTCACCCCCCGGCCTCTCTGCCCCCGTCGCCGTGCTATCCTCTGACGACCAATGTGACTTGGTATTGGTCGCTGCACCAAATGTGACGTTCTAACCCTTGGCTGATTCGGATGGGAATCTGGTTAGATTCGGTATCAGCTTTGTCGTTCCCAGCTCGCCTCCAACGTCTGGTTACCGAAGTAACTGCTTTGACTTCTAGTCTAACCTACCCACGTTGTGATTTGATCTTAGGTAGACGAAATCAACCAGTCGCCGGGCCGCAATTCAAGCCGAGTCCGAGCAAAGGTAACACCGCACAAGTATATGTAAAAGAAAATAAAGTAACAACTCGAAAAGTTCAAATGTGTTAAAAAAAGAATAACAAATATTTTTTTATATCTGGTTTCTGAATACAGAACTGCATCTTTCTCCCAAACCCCTAATATGGATACGTGACACTTTGTGTTTATTAGGCGAGTCTTAACATCTAAAGTTGTTTTTTTTCAAGAAACTGGTTTTTGGTGTATCTTCAGGCGATATTCGTAAAACTTGGTGGTGTGAGTCTAAGTCGTTCTTCAAAAATAAATTGTTCTTGGTTAGAAGTCGAAGTCGGGATGCGTGGATCTTCAGTCAGCTTCCTGCGAGGCTGGTCACAGAGCTCACAGCTCAACTCTGTCTGCGTCTCACCAACACCAACTACTTCTCTCCAACTACTTCTAACTCGCTGCGACTCTGCTTATATAGACGCCGACCAAAACCGGGTGTGGGCCTGTCGTAGTTTGGGGTTCCTCGATAATTCTAAATCCACAATAAGGATTTTCTTTGTTTTTGGAGAGGAAAATTTATCACTTTCCATTTTTGGTACTCCATTACTTTCTGCTTTAAGGGAATCGTCCTCCCAAATTCTTCCTTTCTCATATTGGTATCTCACACCAATCCCCTCAACAGGCCTCCCCTCCTTCTCATATGTTTACCTTCGCCTACCGCTCACGCCACCATTCAGCCAATGAACGCTCAGCAGCGTGGGTGTGGCTAGACTGGCCTCAGTTCAAAAGTATCGCCCAAAGAAAAAAAATTATCTTCCCTTTTCTTTTTCTTTTTTTTTTTTTTCACCAGACCCCTACGACTCGTAGTGTGGTCCTTAATCTCTATCGTAACCGAATGTCACCTGAACTTTATCAATATTTTCGCAAGTGGGTGGTCCTCTGGACGTCTCCGCGCTCTGTATCCAATTATCTATCCCGGTATCAAACTTTTATCATGTTCAGGTCTGGACAATAAAACAGGTGGTCTCTTTCTAAAAACAAATGATATCTTCGAAAGATAGTTAATGGTTTATCCTCTTCCCTTTCTTTTTCTCGGTGGGGGGGGGCCACCCTCGGTCAGTGCGCGACCTGATTATTCGACATAATTATCTCCCAGCTTCTGTTTTCTAGGCCACTTGACCAATTTGAAATTTTCATTATTGCCATGGGCAGATGGCTATCTTTTATTCGCCGCCTCGTAACATAAATTAATTCGACAGATCTGAGATCTTATGAATTTCCTATCTTCTGCGAGAAAAAAAATATTTTCCTTCGCAAATGAAAATAAAATCTTTACCACTTTTCTCTGTTAAAGAAAATAACATCGTTCAGTATGTCTTTTCGTGATAGCTTCTTATCGCCTTAATTATTTCAGCTTCTTATCGCCTTAATTATTTCTCGCTTTTAATTTTCACGCGACCGCTAAATAGTGTCACAATTGTAAAAAATTATGACTTCTACTGTGTTGCCGAATCCATATAATTTACATATTTTTTTGATGAGCGATAAAATCCGAAATAGGAATACCTGTCTGTCGACGGTATATGAATCACTTGGCAATAGCCGATGGCGCTTTGTTGCACGTTCCTTTAATGTGAACTAGTGTCTTCTTCGTTTCCATTTTCTCTAAAACTTCATCGTTGCTCACATGTTCGGTCCATACCGAATTCTCTGCATACTTCTGTAGAACAACATTTTTGCATTTAATTATCAGAAAACTTGACCTAAGTATAATTGATCTGTGATTTCTCTAATATATAATAGGTCCACCATAATAAATACCAAAGTAGCTGATCTCTCTCCAGATCTGCCTCTAGCAGCTCAATGGGGGGAAAACTGGTTACATTCAATGCCACAAAAAACAAACTGATATGTCCCGGAAAGGGATATATTTGAACGAAGTGGCAAAGTGGTTTTGGTTACTGTAACCAGGTAGAATACGGTAGCAGTAATCGACTGGTACGCGTGGTAGGCGCAGGTACGATCAATGGCGTAGTCCAATGGGCGTCGTTATAGACTTAGCTCTCAGACTAAGGCTCTTGACTCTCCAACACTTCCGTCGGTATTTATGACGGACACCAGCCAACCATATTCCAGTGAGGGGGAACCAAGTGTACGTATATTCCATTATATCACAAACTAGTGACATCCCACCTTCGCTGATCGGACTCAGAACATTCACCAATCTTAAAGATCTTCCTCAGGGAGGCTCGTGCCTGTTGGGGCTTAAACTCGACCCAGAGATCAAGTGGAACATCTACATACGATCCATTGCTAAAGATCCGGCAAGTACCCCACTCCTTCTGCTATCCTCTCTAGATTTGCAGGAGTCAGATCAGGCCTAATCTTTTTTAAGCATTTCACCCCAAGCAAGGCGGAAGTGCCACTAGTGCACAAGGAGTTACAGAGGGGGAAGTTAAGAGAAAAGACTCGGTATAGGGGGATTGAGGAAAAGATAAAAATAAGAACAGCGATCAAAGCATCAGATGATGATGATTGAAGATTGTAGTTATCAGGGAAGCAAGTAAAGGGAAGGGCGTTCCACTGTCGGGAAGTGGAAGAGAAGAAACTGTTGGGGTAGAAAAGGCGGTTACATTTAACTGTTTCAACAGTAAAAGGGTAAGATTTATATGCCAACCTAGTAGCACGCTTGAATTCATGCAGTCGGGGAACCAGGGAAAATACCTCGTCAGAGCAGTTGCTATGAAAATCTTTGTAGAAGAGTCAAAGGGAAACCATTTCCCGCCTGTGAGAAAGCAACTGGAGTTGAACTGCTGCCATATTTAAACGGAAATTGATCAGACTTCCCTTTCCAGTCTCGATAGAGTTCAAAACCGTCTCTGCATCCTTGTAGGCGATGAACCTCTTTTCTCACAGACGAGACGTCGCAAGCCTTTCGCTACTCTATCGCTATTTCCATGGAGAGTGTTCAGATGAACTACATTCTATAGTTTAACCAGTTCTAACCTTCACGGTTAAGACCCACCATATCACGACCATTGTAGCCAACCACCCTCATTCTCTTGGTGAGACTACAAGCAGCGTCTTCTCATGAACTTGTAACTTGTGGAATATTACCCTGTTCAAGTCTAAGGTTAACCGTTTTCTTCTACACACATCCGCATAAGCCGTGTAAGCCTCAACCTCGAGTGACTCCCGGGCATTGTACAGAGTGAACATCACTGTAAAGAAAAAAAACCTCAAAAGGAGAGGTGACCTAGAAATTAAAGCCACAAATTTCAGAATCGGAACTTAAAAGATAAACGCCCGACCTGTGAGTGGAGAGACAGGCTCCCTCAAATCCTCACAAGAAGATCGAACGTTCGAAGAAAGACCCGGCACCATATACCTTCGTTTTGGCTGGCGTTAATTTGACAGAGACTAGTCGTAAATAAAAAAAATATTTTAGGCATGAAAAATGTAGTCTCTTTATTGTTATCAAACTTTTCTAACATAATTTTCCACTAGATTTAAGACTATATTTTGATGTTTATCGATTTATGTATAGGTTGCTGTAAGATGTGGCTTTCTGTCATATCATGTTGAAACACCGGTTCTCGTATGATCCCCGAAGTTAATCAACATCGAACCTGGTCTGTATCTAGATGGGTGACTGATTGGGAATACTAGTTGCTGTAAGCTTGGATGTGTGGGTGGTGTAATGGATAATATATTAGAATTGTTAATTGGAGAGTCGAGTTCCAATTCCCGTTGAATTAGTTATATTCATTTATGCGTGAATAGCCTTGTGAAAAGTAGGATTCCACATCTTTCTCCACTAGCTATGGCTTAATTAGTAGATATTTACTCACCCAACACGAGGTCAGGTTGTGACACAAGGTCAGTTTAATGTGGGGAGCCCGAGCGCGTGCACCTGGGCAAGGAACAAAAATTCCCCGAGCCCACGCAACTGTCGGTTGCGCTGGCTTCGGTGCGTGCACCGATCCTTCTCTCTAGTTATGGCTTAATTAGTAGGACTTAGTAGGACACTGAACCATATTTTCTGGCTTTAAATAACCTGCAAATGGGTTGATTACCGCACTTAATAAAAACATTGTTTATAATGTTCTTTATAGGAAAAGCTGTGGTTTTAAACATTTATTGACATGCATTGTTTGTTTATTAATACAATCCACATTAGACCATAATTCTCTAGACGAATATTTCTTAGACCAATATTTCTTAGACCAGTGATCCTTACACAAATGTTCCTTAGACGAATGTGCGGGATCCTCGAACAAACACATCTCGCAGGCTACTACAAGTGACTTTGATTCTCAATGGGAGTTTTACTAGTGTCACTTTTCTTTTGTCAGACTGTCTAGAAAGAGAAACGGTCAATGTTTAAATGTTCCTTATTCGTCTTCATTTATGTGCCATGTCCATTCTGAACGTGAGCAATCATGGTCCTCCACAGCTTTCCCTATCCTTTGTAGTTCAAAGCAATGTTGTCCCTTTAATATCCCTTTCAACCACAGTTCTGCCATTCATTTACACGAGCTCATTAGGTAGGTTACTCGCTGTTATCACCTGTCCCTCTTGCCTTTCTTATGTCCAGTGAGTATCAAATTCTCCTAGCCATCCTTCCTCATTATGGGTCCCAGAAATTTCAACTCTCTCTTTCTAATTCTAAGTACAAGTCTTCTTTTCGTTCCCCTTTCCTCTAAAACTTAATCACATGCTCAATCCATGGTATTCTCAGCATGGACAGAGAATGTGAGTAACACGGAAGTTTACACAAAATTCAAATTTCAAACTGTAGAAAGGGTTTATGTTGACCCGTGTTCACTCTCAGAATTTGTAATAGGTTGTTTGTTGGGGAGGGGCTTTGTCTAGTGTAAAGCTAAAATATATTAACTGCAACGGGTGGGAATGATATGCCAATCTAGTAGCACATTTAAATTCATGTAGTCAGTGTACCAAGGGGAAAAATCCCACAGGAGCAGTTGCCATGAAAATATTTGAAGAAAAGATATCCTTCATTTTATATTCTTTTCTTCACAGAAAATATAGAGTATCATTATTTTTATGTTTATCTTTACTCAAGTTGGAGTGAAAATAGCAAAAGTGCTTTGGTAGGATATCTTTGTTTCCGTGTGTCAGGAATACATCTTTTTTACTTAGTATTCAAATGTGTTATTTTTACCTTTTATTGTATATACTCATGTATAAGACGACATTATGTATTGGGCGAACCGTAAAAATTTGGCATGAATTTGAACCCCTCCAGAAAAAAAATTACCTGTTATGAATGTTATCAATCCTGACTTGGTATTTCGACTTTACTTTCCCCACTGTCGTGAAGTGCCTTCCTTTTGTCTTTTCTATAAATATTTTCGTGGTACCTTAGTACATTGACTGCATCGAAATCAAATTTTAGGGAGAAGTGCAAACAGGTAAGTGGGTACAAAGTACAGTTGGTTTTACTAGGGTGCATAAAAACCGCAAAGTTGGGTTTTTGTACTTTTCCAAACAAATCAGCTTATTCAAATTTCATCGATTTGTTTGCGAAATTGAACGAAACCTATCGTTTGTAAATCCGAACAAAAATTGTTAGCGATAACTTCAACAACACTAAATATTGTCAGGATTTCAACACGCGTTTGTATGTTGCAAAACATTTCTAGTCATCTAAAAGATATGAATGAGAAAAGAACATTGGTGGGGGTAGTGCTGGTGGGGTGACTCGTATGAGTCATATTCTATTAAATTAAAGCAAGTCATTGAAGCTGATGGACAGAAAAGTAAAATTGAATCGAATATAAAAGGCAGGATGTGTGTGTGTGTGTGTGTGTAAGGAATGCACGGCCGCAATTTTCGGCGGATTTGCACCAAAATTTACATGCACATACTCCAAGTTAGTGGGAATGCCAAGACCGACTTTGCATTTCCCAACTCCCATCGATAGTGGAAAGAATCGATTTTTTCATGCTTCTACGGCAGTTTTCATGTAGTTTGCGGCCATTTTCTACTGGCCAGAGTGACAGCCAATAACTGGCTGCCACGAATCGGCAGGAAGATTCTAGTGGCCAGCGTGAGAGCCAACAGCTGACTGACACGAATGTTAACTAGCATGCAAAAAAATCGATAGCTGCATTCGTCACAAGTGGGAAAAATTTAAATCTGCATGGCACTTTACTCCAATTGGCTCATTCGCTTGCTTAAACTCAATGTTGATTCTGATTCTGCAGAACTGGGTTGGGTGTGAAAAACTATTTGTTGTTAACATTCTTTTTTCATTCGGTTTTTCCAGTTACGAGTCCTTTTTTAAAGCTGATCGTTTTGTGTTCATTTTGTTTAGTTCTTTTTTCGTAACAGATTTAATATTTAGTATAGAGCTTAGAAAAAATTCGCAGTGTGAGATAGGCAAGAAGTAAGGCATGTACCAACATCAACACGGCAAAGGGCACACTTTTAAAGGCAAGGAAAGGCAAAAATCTTTTAAGTCAAGTGATAGCTATATGAGTCGTACGATTTTTGAATCAAGCACGAGCAACGCCGGACCATGCTGCTAGTTACTATATATACACGAGTATAGTGCAAAATTTTATGATCTATTTTTTTTTATGCAAAAAATAGTGTCGCACTATAGTGGCGTGGGGCTTAGTGGGTTAAAAGTATCATTTGTTTTACCCACTCCAAGAAGATTAGTGGAGGCATGTAATGACGAGGAAACGCTCGGGTTATTTTTAACAAAACAAGGTAAGGAACTTATTTACGTATTTACACATTTGAATTTGTGTCAGTAGCTCGTTTCAGGATAATAAATCAGAAAATTTTAAAGTCTGTAGTTTCACAGAATTTTTTATATGGATTTAAAAAATAACAAACAATGAGGTCACAGTATACAACTAAAATATTATTTTACATTATGGATCAAATGTTATGTTATCGGGCCTTATCTGGCATTTCAACTTCAATTTTCCTAATAAGCTCTCTTAGTTGTTAGTTGACTGCATAAATTTAGACGTGTTACTAGATTGGCAATTAGGTCTCCCATTGTTTTATCGTTGAAATCGCTAGATGTAACTGTAGTTTCTATCCTAATAGTTTATTTTCTCATACTTCTTAACTAGGAACTCTCTTCTAGTTTTTGCTCCCCTGCCACTGACGATCTTCAAAAATTTAAATGCAACGTCAATCGTTATCTTCCATTTTTCTGGATCCTGTTATTTTATTGCCTATCTTCTCACTAACACCCTCTCATTTTCTTTTCTTCATTTTCAGTATCTCTTGTTTCTTAGTGGTTTTATTGCCTTGGTTAGACAAAAAAGAAAGAAAGAAAGAAAGAATTTGTAGAACTGAATGAATTTTAATATAAATAAAGTTTTAGAATCAGTATCAAATCAATTTTGCAATTACAAATGATCATCTTTTTATAATTTAATTTTTTCTTAGAAATGGCGGGGTTGTAGTAGCATTATTGCAGACATAAGAGTAAAAAAAGATGAGTTATTGAACAAGGGGAGACAAATATTGTTGTTACATTTGAAGTCTAAAATGATTGACTGATTTGTTTTTTTACGGCGTATTAGACTTTTGCAGATTATTTAAAGCCAGAAAATATTTTTAGATTGTAAGAATTTTTAAGGATAATAATGGCTTAGTGGTACAAGTCTTACTAATTAACTCATAGCTAGAGGCAGGTGGATTCATACCTAATCAGAATTAAAGAAATTATATATATATATATATATATATATATATATATATATATATCAATTCTACATTACAATCAGTATATAAACTGAGCCCCCAATTTTTGGTCACGGTACATTTATATTCCAAGAGAATGTATATAAATCTAAAAGAGAGGCCTGTATAGCTAATCAGTATTTTATTGATTGATTGATTGATTGATACGTTTTCTATGGCTTATCAACCATTTGCATTTAAAACCAGAAAATATTTTTAAATTTTAAGAAATTTTTCAGGCTGGTTTTGAATTCAAAGTTTTCCTTCTCCTAGCCTGGTTATCATCAAATGCAGGAGAGCTTATCCTATTTAATATTTAGGCGTTGCTTAACTTTTAGGCATTATTATCTTTCGTTTTCTTAATTTCTGTTCTTTTATTGTTTTCACTCCTTAATAATGTTCTTCTTTTTCTTATATTCTTTCACACTCATTAACGTCCCGCCTGCATCTTAGTGACTTTATTGCTTTGCTTGGGGTGAAATGGTTAAAAATAGTTCAATGGAATGAAAATAGTTGTGGCTGTAATAAATAAATTGCCTGAGGCAGCATCTTAGGTTTAATGCTTGGAAAGAGATAGAAAATATCTTGACCTTCTCTACTTTTCAAAGTCCACTATAGGCATTAGTATATCCACGATATACTAACACCTTATGACAGAAGGAAGGCTAAAATAGCCCAAAATAAATTTTGAAAATGAGTTATACATAAAAACCCTCATGAAAGTGACTCATTGCTCCTTCTCGGGATCACTTTCTCATCTGAATTCTCAGCTGAATTAGCTCGATGTAACCGTAAGTTTCTCGGTTGACATGAAGTAGAAAGACTATATTGAATCCATTGCTAGGTCTGCTGTTAAAGAAAAGTTGATTCACTCTGTCGTGCTAGACAATTTTTTCTCTCTAGAATCGGCTTTACGTATTTATAAATCTTAGTCCATGCTTTGAA